AACACTCCGACGGCGGGGCGCTCGAATTGACGAGAGACTACCGAAGGTTTTTGTCTCTGTATTCGTTCATGTAACGTGTTGGATGAGTGCAGATTCCGCCAATAATCCCAAGCCGGGAGGGCGTGCTACAGAGGCCAGATATTTCGTTGTCCTCGGAGCCAGATTTCAAGAGGCAGACAGAGTCGCCTGCTTCAGGACGCCTTCCCAGTCTGCCCTGACGCCCGTTAAGGTTCACAAAGTGGAGTCTCCTGGCCTAATGCCGGTTTCTCATGTCAAGCCTCAAACCGCCGGGTGCCCTGAGGTTTCAACGAGTGGGGCTCAGCGACGGTGCTGAATGGGACTCGTCCGATGAGCAGGATGCCGAGTCACTACAGGTACGCCCAAGAATCGCGATTCCTGGTGCAGACATTCTGCACGAACGGCGGGCATTGGAGTATGAATGGAGCATGTCTCCTCGCGGTGTCAGGACAATGAAAGGCAGATCAGCTTCGGCAAAATGAATCCGAACACAGAATATTTCCAGATCGGGGGTCAACAGGCGGGAACAGTTTGGTGTCTGTGACTGTGCGACGATCTATTTGGCAATGGGAAACCATAAGTGAGGTTGCTGCAGGGTTGCTGCATTCAGGATTCTCCCGGTCCGTCCCCACGCTCCGGAAACGACCGGGCCTTGGGAGCTTGAGCCGCCTGGCCGCAGAGCGCTCGTTTCCCCCCGGGCAGATGTTCTTTTTTTTGCGGTCTGAGAACGACGAAACTATTTGAGGTCAGTGTGATCGCATGGACAGAGCCAACGAGCCTGTGTGGTGCATCATTCAGGCTCGTCGCGATTTCTTCCCGAAGGGAACCCCAGGTAACATGTACCTTCGGTTGCAACCGGAAGCAAAGTGACCAACGACTGCGTCGACAGCACCGGTCAGACTTTCAAGGCAACCGTCAAGTAGATGTACAGAAAGCACAAAGTGGCTGTTTGAATTTCCAGACGGCACAGCAGATGCAAGTCCAGCACAAAGTTCGATCACTGTCTTCCTGTGCGAGCCTGGCATGCCAAGGTTGGACCATGACCAACACTTGTCCACCGGTACACATCAAAGTTTTGGATTAAGTCACGGTGCCGTGTCTTGCAACAAGCTCATGGGAATTTAGTTCACCAGTCCTCGACCCATTTCCAGAAGCTCGTTCGGGGCGAGGGCCGGTGAACGAAAAGGCGCAGTTTCATGGCCGAGAAGCAGGAGGCGAAGGTGGAGGAGGAGGAGGAAAAGAAGCAGGAGCAGGAACAGGAGGAACAGGAGCAACAGGAGGCACAGGAGGAAAGCAGGAGCAGGAGCAGGCGCCAACTGAGACAAGTTGTGTAGCAGCATCATTAGTACTGGTAGCAGCAAAGTGGAACACGCGAAATGCTCGTCTGCTCTGCTCAAGCCACGTGCTGTAGCAGCCGGGATGTACTCTACAGGGCCAAAACCATAGCCAAGGCATCAATAACACTCGTATCTGACGTTGCATCTGAGCAATGCAGTCAAACCGGACCCCGAACGCCCTCAATGGATGGCTGGCGAGTATGGGTGGTGCGGCATCCAATTTGCTGCGGTCTGAGACTGTGCGGGACTTGCTGCTCCCACGAGATTGCACGATGCTCGCTGCAGCGGTCGACGGGAACGTCATGAGCACTACCTGAGTAGCAACAGCTGTCCGCCAAGCATCAACATTTGTATCCTGAACGTCATTAGCAATCATTAGCCTTTGCGAAGCAGTGCTCATCATTGCTTGACTGAAGCTCTGCTTGTCTCTGAGGCCCTTAGAGCATGAAAAGGTCATCGTGGAGGTTGGCGGCGTATCATCGAAAATCGGCGGACAGGGCCGATTTTGGAGCAAGTCAGAAGCATGTCCGTCGGGTTTCGGAAGGTTGCAGAGCTGCTCCGTAGCGCCTGCAGCACTGAGCTGACATCTTTGGAGGCGGCCAGATGGTCCTCAATCTAGTCTGCCACTGCGTCTGCCACGCGATCCGAAGGTGTCATTGCGGCGGAGTGGAGCCAGCGAGGCAGCCCAGCCGACGGCTGTCCTTTTGCATCCTCGGCTCAAGCGACAGGCTTCACGGATTTTTCCGCTGACTTGCCCACTGCCGTCTTCGCCTTCGGTGCAAGAAGGCCATCATCAAGTCCTGCACCTCAGTTTACCTTGTCCAGGCTGTTTAGAAGGTTCTGCAATGTTCTGCATTTCCCGAGGTTGGTCTCAGCCTGCTGGCATGGATGGCCAGTTCGTGTGACCGGCATGTGGGAATCTGCAGCTTCTGCCACTCTTCCTGCCTTGTGGCTTCCTAGCTGCTGGAGAAAGCTCCGCGACGCATAAACGCTTTATCAAACGCCAGGTTTTTCCTGCTGTGGTGCTTCCATTTCTTGGAGGCTGGAAGCAGCTTCTGTGCAGCGTTGAACTCGCGCCTCTTCGCTCTGAGGTGAAGGCCGGCCTACAGCGCCGCAATCCGCTGCTTTGGCTCAGAAGCCGGAAGCTCGAAATGCCGCAGGGAGTGGTCTTGGGCTTGGGACCGCGGCTCACAGGCTTCGGGGCGGTGGCAGCCGGTCTTCTGGTGATCTCCGACTCAGGGCACGCTCAGACGGCCGGGGGCCTGAAGTGTCCTGTCAGGGTCTCGAGCCCTGGTGGAGGCTTTGTCGCAGGCCCACGAACTGGACAAAGCAGGCGAGATTCCGAAGTGTCGGGCGATGTTCACTGCTCCTGTGTAGACTGCGGGGGCTGAGTGGACGCGCTTTCTCGTGAGGCCTTTCAGGCGGGTTTGGGACTCCACGGGGCAGCGGTGGCCGAGGCCGTGGGCGTGGCCACGAGGCCCAAGAGACCGAGAGGGGCTGAAGACATGGACAGGAGCAGGGGGATTTTTGGGAGAGCCAGGCCGAAAACCTCCAAGTTCGCTTGCATTGTGGACTCCTCATCCTCGGACTGGAAGAGAGTCATGCTGTGGGACCCGGCAAGCGTGATGCCGAGGCAGTGGAACATGCCGCAGCCGCGACCAGCCTAGTGCTAGCACTGTGGGGATACTGTTCTGATTCCAGAGGTGGGGAGCACCACGAAAGTATCATCGACCACTTGGTTGAGGGGCTTGAGATGTGCAGGTCTTCTGCTGGGATTGCTTCCCGAAGTGTCATCCGCATGGAACCTGGTTTGCAGCAGACGGCACGCGAAAGACGTGCTACGTAGTACCATGTCAATGCTCCAGAAAAGGGAACTACAGGGTGTGGCTTCAGCTGGGTTCACGGCTCTCCGGAGTTCCTGGTTTGATGGATTGCTGCTGTGATCAGGTCCCTTCCAGGCTCGTCTCGTCCCTGGGCTGTCGCAGGCACCGGTCCGGTGCGGAGGGCACAGAGAGGGCTGAGAAGTAGCAGGCGGACAGTGCTGGAGCCAGCCTTGGCTCTCGCGGCGTCCTCGGCGAGTTTCGAATTCGCCTCAGCGCCTTTTCTCGGCTTTCAGTGTCGACCCGAGGCCCTCCTTGCTCGGGTGGTGCCGGTTTTCCTTCCCACGGAGGCGATCTGCCACATGCTTGCATTCTCGGGAGCACTTGTGTTGCTCAATGGTGCCAGGCGAACTTCGTGCGAGTGCTCGCAGTGCTTTCCTGCGTAGCTTGGCTGTTGAGGTACCAGAGCTTCACAGCATTCATGACCGACGTGGTTGCACGGCTGCCGTGTCTGAAGGCTTCCAAGCTTGGTCGCCGAGGCAAAGCCGGATCGCAGCTGAGGGAGCGACCCACGCAATGGGTTGGTGTGTTGTGAGCGAAGACCAAGGAGCCGGCACATGCTGGTGCCGAGCTAGAACTGGGACTTCTGCGAGGACAGTTGGCATTCTTGGATATTCTTGGCCTTGTCGGGTCTGTGTATCTCGTGTCGACGCAGGCGAGCTTCACGCAGCCGAAACTGCGCAGGTTGGACACTGTCGGGATAGGAGTGCTGCATGGTCAAAGGCATGAGTGATTCTCGCTAGGAGCCATGTCGTTTGATGATCCATGATGACCCCTCCTCAGTTCCGGAGCTGGTCGGAAGTCTGGGCTTTTGCAAGCGTCCCCTGAGGTCATCTACGATGTGACTGATTTTCTGCAGGATGGCAGCTGTGCATGGATGCTTGGGCCAGCTGAAGTGATGAAGGTAGTGCTGTCTGCCATCTCTTCTTCCCGGTTGTGTTGATGTCATTGTTCGCAACCGTCTTGCTCCAGCGACGCAGCGCAGAAGCCTCTAAGGGCAGGCCGAGTGTACCGCTCAGCTTCTACCCTTCGCACTTGCTCTCGCCATAGCGCCCAGCACCAGCGCAAGCCTGCTGGTATCGCCTCAGCACCATGCCGTTTGCAATCGCGTGTGTTGCGGCTGGACTGCAGAGAGGGCTGCTGTTGCTTGGTGCCTGCAGAGGGCAGTGATGATCGCGAGAGTCGCGAGGTACT